GCTCTCAGCCACAGGGAGTCAAGCCTGAGCCAGAGCCGCAGCTGGAGTTTAAAAAAAAAAAAAATTGCCTTGGTAAGGAGTCCTGGGATAGTGGAAGAGGCTGGGGAATGTGCCCTGGCCCCATTGTGGTCCCTCACAGCCCCCTCCTTGGTAGGGGAAAGGCAGAGTGGGAAGGGGAGAGGGGCAGTACAGGTGACAGGCCCAGGTGCCTCGGGCATAGATTGATCAGAGATGCCTTGTGGGTAAGAAATGAAAGAGGTAGTCTGGGCCAGACATTGGCGGGACACCAGGCAGTTGCAATGAGGCGTCTCTAGGCAGGGTCCTGTGAGAGACCCAGGAGAAGCTGGAGAAGGCATAACCTTCCCTCTGAGGGAGTGCAGTTCCCATGGGAAAGGTAGTAAGTCAGTCCACTGGCAGACATTGATTCTGCACTCACCAGAACCTAGCTCTGCTTGGGACACTTGGGGCATGAGTTTCCACAGGGTCTCAACAGTGGGGACAAGGCTAGGTTAGAAACCTGTAAACACAGGATTCTGTGTGCCTAGCCGCAAAAGTGCACATGCCACTGGAGATAGATGGCCCTCTAGCCCTGTCCAAGGCAGAAATGGGGACGTAGGAAAAACGCATAATGGAGAGGGGGAAAGCGGAGGCAGTCATCGGGAGGGGGTAAAGCCAGATATTCTTAGCGTGGGACACTAGCTTGATTGAATTTGGAACCGAGATCCAAAAAGGGGAACATTCTCCCTCTGTCTTGGGCTCTGTCGGGTGGAAAAATGAGCTGCCTTTTATGGGGGAACCACCTTCTGAAGCCAAGCAGATGCAAGAGAAACAATAGAGTCCCCAGAGCCCTTGCCTCAATGTCCACACCTGGGAAATGTGGCTTAAGCCCTGCCGGACCAAAGAGCCCAAGAAGGCCCCGTTTTACTAAATGAGCCCAGTGACCCTAATGCTTTGGGCCTTCCCCTCACCGCTATAACCAAGACATAACTTCTCTTCATCCCATCTAGCCAAGCGGGACCCCAACCCCACCCTTCTCCAGAGCGCCATCCCCAAACCCATTTCCATCCCATCGAGCAGACTCATTCCCACTAGCTTCGTCAAACTCATTTCCATCCCCTGCCCCAATCCCAGCTGTTCGAGAGGCACTTTTAGACACGAACTCAGGTTTGTTGTCAGCAAAGGGAAAACTCCTAGGCGCTCGGGAGAGCTGCCGCGTTCGCTCCTTCTCGCCCTCCCTCGGTCCCTGCCTCTGCCCCGCTGCCGCCGCCGCCGCCGCTGCGTTCCGGCCGCCTGGTCCCTCGGCCAGCTCTCTGTCCCTGCACCGTCCCTGCCTCCCCAGGGAGAAGCCACCCTCTCCCAGGTCAGTTACACAATATTGGAAAGGTAACTTTGTCCCTTCTTTCGATTGGAGTCCCAAGGACTAACTGTGCCTGGTTGAATATTTGCCTTTAAAGCAGAGGCCGGACTTTGCCCCGCTGCCATTCCAGGTTTTATTTCCTCAGAGAGGCTCTTTTTGCGGAGGAGAAAGAAGGCGCCCCGAGGTACCCCTGCCCGCTGCCACCCCTGGTCCGCCCGCGCGCGCTTCTCTCCCCAGATCTTGTATTTTCTGCAGGGATAAACCTGAACTCGCCCCCAACCTCGCTTCTCTCTCTAAAGGTCAAGAGAGAGTGACCCAGGCCGCTTGAGGTGCCTGCAGCCTGGGAGTCCCTGGCCTCCCAAACCGTCCCCCTGCCCTCCCCCCGGGTTCACTGAGCACCCAGGGATTGACTGCTTTTCCGTATGGAAGGCGCCGACTTTGAGGAGCCGCGCATTGTCTCCTTCCCAAGCCGGCAGCCCTGCTCCCCGGCGCACGCCTCGCGGTTCTCTTGTCCCTCGTCCCCGTCCTCTGTCCCCGCGCCGCCCCCCTACAATTCACACACACACACACACGCACGCACGGACGCACACACACACACACACACACACATTTCGCTGTTTATTTGCCACGGAGAAGGATAACGAAGAAGCAATTAAGCGTTCACAGCCTCGCTAGGACAGCACAGAGCCGCAACCTTCGCAAAATCTGGGGTATGCTTTTTTCCGGGCTGTGGGTTAGCGGGGGCCCTCTGGCCCGCAGGGACCCCACCATTCCTGGGGGCCCCTTGTTTGTTGGAAGGCAGTACCCTGCGCCCAGGCAGCTCGCCCTCTCACCTCCTAGGATTTCTTTCGTGTCTTTGCTGGGAAGGGGATTAGCTAGGGGTGCTCCTGGCGTTGGGTACTCAAGGGGGCAGGTAGCTTTATTTGATCGTAGGCAGAGCTTGGGGGCCCCCGCCAGTTTTTCGGACCGGTTCCCCTACTGGCTCCAGCTGGCGCAGCCTCCCTCCCAACTTGCCTTTTCTCCTCGCCCGCTGAGTCCTGCCCACCCGGCCGGCGGACTGCTGGCTGACGGTCCGGGCGGCGGCTGCAGCGGTTTCGGGGCCACTACTCTAACTTCTCTCTGTGGGCCCCGGGCTGCCTCTTTCTCTGTTCTCCCCTTCGGGTTGGGAAAATTGGTTGAGGGAAAAACAAATCTCAGGGCGTCCTCCCCTTCTTTTCTGAAAACATCAGCCGAAGCTGGTGGCTGCTGCGCCCAGAGTCCGAGGACCTTCCGAGCCCCTCGGGAACAGCCCGGGGAACTCGGGGCTTGGGTCCTCAGAACTACCGGAGGCCACGGAAAACGGGGAGCTGCGCCCCATGTTCCCTTCGCTGCCGCGAGACCAATTACCAAGAGGACTCTGGTCTGCGCTCTTTACGCGCTGCCCAGCTCTCCGCCTTCGCGCCCCTAGACCACCTTGCCGCCACACACACACACATACACACACCTCGCTTTGCTAGCTTGGGGTGCCGAGCCCGCATCTACGCCGGCAAAGGGGGGAAGATGGGAGGCTTGATTGCGAGATTAACGAACGCCCGGGACTGTGCCTAGACGCGCACGTTCACAAACATGCAAGCAGAGAAGGGAAGGGCGGAGGGTTTTGCTAGCTCGGGCACGGCCACTGGCCCTAAACGCGCGCGCTAACCCTTCGGCACTCTGCAACGAAAGGGGGCTGGCTGGACGGAGGAGAGGACCAGATGCCCTCGGTTGGAGCCCGGCGGGACTCAGGGCTGCTTTGCATTCAGCCGGACGGTACTCTGGAAGCGCGAGAAGTTCGCGCTTTGGGGCACCGGTTGCTTCCCTCTGCTCCAGCCTCCACCTGGATTATTCGGGCGGAAACGGGTACAGGGACCAAGCAGTGGTAAGCACAGGTGGCACCTTGAGGGAAGGGAGCACTCGGTGATTACTCTAGCACCTTCTAGGCTATGTTGCCTGCACTTTCGGAGAAAAAAAAAAATGGAGCCGGGGCGAAAGGGTGATTCTGCCGCCGAACCTGGGAGGGCGCGGGATTGGGAAGGCGAGTCTGGGGCTAGAATACAAGTCCATGCGTTCGCTTGCGGGGAGAAGGCGCATCTTTTCCCCAAACGCTAAGTAGAGGGAGCCAGGAGAAAACACTGACTCCCGAGTCTGGAGACCTAGGGACAGACCAGCCAGTTCGAAGGCTGTCAGCGCCTTCCCTCATGGCTGATCGCCTTCAGCCCTCGAAGATGAGTCGACACTGCCGGCTCACCAGCTAACGCCACTACCTGAGAAGAAGACCCGCCACCTTTCCCCGCCAGCTGTTTCTGCTCCATCTTTCTCCAAGGAAGAGAAAAAGGAAAGGTAGGAAAGAAAGAGATAAAGAAAGTAAGAGAGAAAGAAGGAAGGAAGGAAGGAAAAAGGAAGGAAAGAAAGGAAGAAAAGAAAGGTGGAAAGAAAGAGGAAGGAAGGAAGAGGAAAAAAGAAAGAAAAAAGAAGAAAGAAAGAAAAAAGAAAGGAAGAGAGAAAAAGAAAGAAAGAAGGAAAGAAAGAAAGAAAGAAAGAAAGAAAGAAAGAAAGAAAGAAAGAA